GATACCATTGTTGTTTTTCATGTTCCATCGGGTCGGTGACCGAAGATCCGGGTTTGATTCCCCGCATAGGTACATTGTGTGAAGCCCATTTCTGGTGTCCCCGCCGTGATATTGCTAAAAGTAGCATAAATTCCAGCTCACTCATTTTCCACTGTGTTTGGGGAAAAAAAGGTTATATGTTATGAAATCAGTGTAGTCAGAGGAGCCCTATGGTCTCAGACACTGCACACCACTTTGCAGAGTTGCATCCCTTGGCTACACCAGGAACCGAAGTTCACCCTGATTATTTTTCCAGGTTTATCAGCAGAATACCTGTGCTTATGCATGTCACTGAAGTGGTAAAGAGTGTGTGAGTATGGTTTTACTCCACTTTTAGCAATATTCCAGCAATATCACAGCAGGGGACACCAGAAATGGGCTTTACGCTTTGTACCCATGTTGGGAATCGAACTCAGGTCTTCAACATGATGAGTCAACACTTTAACCACTAGGGTACCGCACCGACCCTAAATGTCCAAGAACTGGTACATACTGTTCAAAGTGGTGTCAGACCCAACCCATGCACTCACTGGAATGCGGACCACAAAATGATCTTGTACTTCATGCCCACTGCATAGAACAAGCTTGTTGAAAAGACAGCATTTCCAAGTTTTCTCAGAGAATGATTATCTATCTGAATGTGTATGTTTATTGACCAGCAAAAGAAAGGACATTCTAAGTGAGTGAATGTTCTTAAAAACCATGAGTCTATGTCAGGCTGTAAGTACCGGTAACTGACACTAACCAGTCTTACATGAGCAAGTATTTATGACACACAACCAGTCAAGAACAAAAACTGACCATCTGGCCCAAAGAATCGGCTCTCGATGACAAGCCTGAGATTGTAGGTGAGTGAGTGATAATGATTTTACGCTGCCTTTAGTAATATTCCAGCAATATCGCGGTGGGGGGAGACCAGAAATGGTCTTCACACATTGTACCCATGTGGGGAATCAAACCTGGTTCTTCGGCATGACAAGTGAACACTTTAACCAGTAAGCTATTACATGGCCCCGGCTTGTAGGTGTAAGTCAACCTAGAATCTACATGAGATGCAGAAATGTTTTAATATTATGCAATTGCCCTGACAAGTGATGAAATGGTCACTATCTTCATCTGTGAGCACCTTCATTGAAGAAGCCTGTCTGTTTCTCGAATGACAATTTCTGCTCAGGTTACAGATCAGATTTTCAAAATGTCCTGCAACATTGTTACTCTTGTCAACAGAAAATGGTCCCCTCCCCTCCCCGAAAAACCATCATCACACCCAAACACACCCCACCACCACCACCACCAAAAAAATAAATGTGAACGTTCCCTTAAAGAAGCCCAAGTCTATGGGTGTACTTATATATTAAACATTCACATAACAAAGTCCTGTCACCCTGCTTCTGACCCATGTAACATAGTTAAAAGAAGCAGATTGTCAATATTGAAAGTCAAAGTGACATTCTGATAGCCATGACCTGCAAGTGTCACTAGAGTTTGGGAATACTCTATAGATATATTGGATTTCATGGTTGTCTATGTCACAGTAGTATCACAAAAGTTGCCAAGCTTGGTTCAGATAATCCAATTGTTGCCACTAGAGTATTATACAGGTAAACTTGGAGTGAATGCTCAGAATCCAATTGATTGGGAATATCCTTTTGCTTTCCATATGCACATTATCCTAACCTAACTGCCTGAAGCATCATAAAATCATCTCTGCATGCAAGATGTCATATCATAGACCACACAGTCTATTGATTTGGGTCCGAGTGACACTCAACAAAGTCATGTATTTTAAGCACTAGATACCCAACAGGGATGACAGGTACAAGACATTGGCATCATGTTGAGCCCTGAAATCTCTCACAGGCAAAATATATACTGACTTTGTATATGAAGAAATCTACTGCCACATCACCCTTGAAGATCGACTTTAGAATTGGTCTTCAGCAACCCATGCTTGTCGTAAGACAACTAATCAGGTGGTCAGGCTCGCCGACTTGGTTGCCACATGACATCCTATCCCAATTGCATAGAACAATGCTCATGGTGGTGATCACTGGATTGTCTGGTCCAGACTTGATTATTTACAGATACCCGCCATATCGCTGGATTATTGCCAAGTGCGGCGGAAAACAACAAACAAACCATATGTCGTCACATGCCATCAATGTGCCATGACCTGTGCATGAGGGGGGCACAGGTTACCCAGTGGACAAAGCTGCTGCAATAACCTGTTTATATGTGTTCCTTTGGCATGCAAGAAACAGCATTGTAGGTTCCAATCCCACTTTGCTTCAGTTGTTTCCAGGTTTATCAAAGCCATACCTCTGCATGTGTGTTTCATCAATGTCTCCAGGTCAAAATGAATGCTGACATCAAGAATCACACTGAAATCCATTATGTATCCCAACAGCATGTATCTATGCTCATGTGGTTGATCACTGAATTGTCTGGTCCAGACTCGATTATCTACAGACTGCCACCACATAGCTGGAATACTGCTGAGAGTGGCATTAAACAACAAAGAAACAAAGAAAACATTATTCTTGGATCTGCATCTAGTTGTTTCTGTCCCACCTTGTTGATAACACTGTCCAACCCATTTCACTCATTCAGACCATCGGAAGCATGGAGTTAGACTTTTGACTAACATGTCCTGAAGTCATAGGTCACATATTCCGTGGTGTAGTGGTCACAGCGTCCGCCTGGAGAGCGGAAGGTTGCATGTTCGATCCCTGGCTGCATCATACCAAAAACGTTAAAATATTATACTTGCTGTTCCCTGCCTGGCTCTCTGCATTAATGGGTAAAACAAGGAATGTATCTGAGTGGGGTTTTCATGCTTAACTGCAGGATGGTATCTCAGTGTGCTAGCACTATAAGACCAGCTTCAGTCTGGGCTAGTACAAGCAGCCACACATACACATGCATGCACATCGTCATATGTGCAAAATAATATTAAGTACGACGTTAGAGCCCATTTCACCTCGCCTCACATTTTGCAACACACAAGCACCAGATTTATGAATGAAACATTTACTCCGTAAAATTAACAAACATGCAACTGCAACATCAATGTAATCTAGAGCTAATTTTCAGGTTATAATTGTCTTTACAAGTCTTCACAAATATGATTAAAACGTAAAGTACCAGTTACCATGGCAACAAAGTTTGTCTTAATGTCCTGTTTTAATTCCACGGACAATCTTGCAAAGATAACGCTGAGCTTTTTATACAATATGCTAACCTGCTTGTTGGGAATTTGATCATGAATTTTAACTCAGGACCTTTTGGAGAAAATATGTAGGATTTAAAATTGTCTGCGTAAAGCGGAACAAGAAAGTGATGTTTTCCTTTTAAGTGACAACCGTCTAGGCAGGTAGAGATACAATATCTTCCAATCATTACATTAACGTTTTCTGAAGATCCTACACCTTTTCATGGTGTATTCATGGCTTTTGGACATCGGAGCTGTGCCAATTTATGGTTGTCAGAGGGGTACACAAAGGATGTAATGTACGAATACACAAGTGAGTGAGTGAGTTTAGTTTTAAGCCACTTTTAGTAATATTCCAGCAATATCACGGCAGGAGACACCAGAAATGGGCTTCACGCATTGTACCCATGTGGGGAATCGAACCCGGTCTTTGGCGTGATGAGTGAATGCTGAACCACTGGGCTACCCCACTGCCTCTATGAATACACAAAAGCTACATAGAAAGTAGTCAAATGTAACGTATATTTGGGCTTATACTTTCTTGGTAACATACAGATTCAAATACTTATTTGGGTTGAGTCAAACCTGGGATTTGAACACACAGTCAGAGTGAGGCACCAAACTGCCAACAACACATTGTGTAGAACACAAGTTATTGGACTTTCTATATTTGTGGAAGCTTGGGTGGTTCAGTGGATTCATTCGCCGACTATGTGTGCTGGTGATTTGGTCCCTCAGTTCAAATCTTGGATGGGACTTGACTGAAAAAGTATGATAATTTGTACTACTTTCCCGAGAGTGTGTAATCCCAAATATCATGTTACAAATCGTGGGAAGATCTCGGGAAAATATGTTCACAACTGCAAGATAATCCTCATCACAGCAACTAAAACAATGCCCAGCATAACTTGAAATACAGCTGAAATATACATCATAATTTCTTGTAAAATGAGTTTCAAATTTCACATTTCCATTGAATAGTTTGTGATCTATTACTTTCACTGAAGCAATATGAATCACAGTTTAACCTTGTACCCAAGACTGTGAGGTATCTCATATTTAAATATACACATTTGGAATATGACCCCAGGTTGCAAAGACAATGATAACCTGATTCTTATTTTTTTGTGAGAAACAAATGGAAACAGTGAAAAACTGAAGTATTCTTGTTAAACGAGGCAATTACTATAGGTCATGCATTATCATTATGACAAGCTAGTCTGGAGTAGTCACACCACTGGCTGGAAACAATCCAAGGGATTGGGGCATGATAACACAATCAGTCACAAAGCTTGGCTCTATGTTTGTGTAGTGATACTTACAGGCCGTGAGAAGAAGAATCAATATACACAAGATAAACAATAACAGAAGTCCCTCCACATTAAAGATGTGAATAACATTCACAACAAAAGTATCTTAATTTTTAAAAATGGCATTTTAAAAACATATCCTTATTACTATAAAACTGAAGATGATTGTAATAACTTTGTTTGTGTACATTTCTCCATCATATATATCCTTGAATACATACATACGCTTCAAGTCATCAAAGTATTCACTAAAACTAGGCTTGGCTTGACCTGCAGGACATAAAAAGCACCTAAAGCACCTAAAGAGGTTTCATGTTCCAAGGTGATGGAGGACATCTACAAACCCATGAAGTAATGATGGTGCCTGGAGCTATTCTTTGTTTAACAGACAGAAGGAAACATTCTCATGGTGTCATTGGAATCCAACATGTGGCTTTAAATATCTTAAATAAGTGTACCTCAAAACAATCTCTGCTAATATATTTTGTCAATACCTGTATATACTTTGTGAATCATCCTGTCAATACTTATTGAATCATCTGTTCAGTACCTCCTCAATCACATTGTCCATACCTTTTCAATCATCTGGTCATTTCCTTGTGATTCATCCTGTCAATACTCATGGAATCCTCTGGTCAGTACCTCCTGAATTACCTGGTCATGTGGTCAATACCTGTTGAATCAGATGGTCAGTACCTCCTGAATCATCTGGTCAATATCTCCTGAATCATCTGGTCAATATCTCCTGAATCATATGGTCAGTATCTCCTTAATCATATGATCAATATCTCCTGAATCATATGGTCAATATCTCCTGAATCATATGGTCAGTACCTCCTGAGTCATCTTGTAAACACTTCCTGAATCATTTGGTCAGTACCTCCTGAATCATCTGGTCAATACCTCCTGAATCATTTGGTCAATAGTTCCTGAATGATGCTGTTAATACCTCCTGAATCATCTGGTCAATATCTCTTGAATCATCAGGTCAATTCTCCTAAATAACCTGGTCAATGTCTCTTGAACCATTTGGTCAATACCTCCTGAATGATTCTGTTAATACGTCCTGAATCATTTGGTCAATATCTCTTGAATCATCTGGTCAATACCTCCTGAATCGTTTGGTCAATACCTCCTGAATAATCTGGTCAATACCTCTTGAACCAGTTGGTCAATACCTCCTGAATGATTCTGTTAATACATCCTGAATCATTTGGTCAATACCTCTTGAATCATTTGGGCAATTTGGGAATGTCCTGAATCATCCTCCTGAATCATTCGGTTAATACCTCCTGAATCATTTGGTCAATATCTCTTGAATCATTTGGTCATCATCTGGTCAATACCTCTTGAACCATTTGGTCAATACCTCCTGAATGATTCTGTTAATACCTCCTGAATCATTTGGTCAATACCTCCTGAATGATGCTGTTAATATGTCCTGAATCATCTGGTCAATACCTCCTGAATCATTTGGTCAATACCTCTTGAATAACCTGGTCAATACCTCTTGAATCATTTGGTTAATACCTCCTGAATAATCTGGTCAATACCTCTTGAATCATCTGGTCATTACTTCCTAAATAATCTGGTCAATACCTCTTGAATCATTTGGTTAATACCTCCTGAATAATCTGGTCAATACCTCTTGAATCATTTGGTCAATACTTCCTGAATAATCTGGTCAATACCTCCTGAATCATTTGGTCAATACCTCTTGAATAACCTGGTCAATACCTCTTGAATCATTTGGTCAATACCTCCTGAATAATCTGGTCAATACCTCTTGAATCATTTGGTCAATACCTCCTGAATAATCTGGTCAATACCTCCTGAATAATCTGGTCTATACCTCCTGAATAATCTGGTCAATACCTCCTGAATCATTTGGTCAATACCTCCTGAATAATCTGGTCAATACCTCCTGAATAATCTGGTCAATACCGTCCCGTGTTATCCAGTCAATACCTCCTGAGTGACCCTTTCAATACTTTCTGAATCATCTTATCACTACTTCAAGTTCAAGTTCAAACTTTCTATTAAGAGATTGTAATTTTTCTCAAATTCTTCAGTAAAATATGTCATCTTTACTCAGCCATAACATAAGTAGCACACAAACTGACTATTTGATACCTCTCCAGCATATGTATTTGTTTGTCACTATTCTTGCAGAACACAACAGCAAACTATAAAATAGGGTGATGAAAATTAAAATATAAGTAGCAAACATCAACCTCATCAGTGACATCCATCAATACCACTCTTCATCTTCATCAAGTTCATCTCTTACTTCTTTTTCATTATCTTTCTGTTCTTTGAACCTGGGGATAATTCCTTATAGGGAGATGCTACCTTCTCATCGGTCTCCCTCCTTTTCTTGTGAAGTCTTTTGACAACTTCCCCTATGTTTCCTGAATGCTGGAAGTATGTCCTCCCAGTGGAAACCTGATTGAAACAGATCATGCCCATGTCATCACTCCTTGGATTTTTGCTCAAGATTGAGGCTTTACTAATAACATTTTTGGAATGGCCAGTCGTTGGACGCTGACGACGACTTGCTGGGGATCTTTCGGGGATTAATTCAGGAAGATTTCTTGTTTTAGGCGGAGTATTCCTCATCTTCTTTTCAATTCCATCAGATTGTGTCTGTTGGTGAGCCATTACCTGGTCAGTTTCCAAATCCTTCCAGCATTCTGAAGATGTGGCAACAGTACTGTCCTGATCATTCAAAGCCTTGATTACTGCTTCACTACTCTGCTTTCTAAAGAGACCCAACTTGACATCCTTCATCTTCTTCTTAAGCAAATCATCATCTCGAGACAATCTTGACCTTTTAGTTTCTGATTCAAAGAGGGCTATTTCTTGAATCTGACCAGGTCTCTGAGCCATGTTTGTATCATATTGATGGACAGATGGAGCCTCCAATAGCTGTGCAATTAAAGCAGGACACTGACTTGTTTTAACACTTGATTCAGTTCTTGTTGCTTTTTGAACCCAAACAAGGTGATGACTTTGACTCAACACCTTCTAGGCACTGATCAGCAGAGTCTTTCTCCAGTCCACAAGATTCAGGCTTCAAGTAAGAGTTAACTACATCCAAGGACACAGATGTTGCTGATGGAATCTCACTTCCTGACCTTTCTGTTGTATCAAGTGGCATGTCTGGATATTGAGCAATAGAGTCTTTACGACTGTGTTTTCTATTTTCTTTCAGATAACTGGAGAAAAATCCACTGTTGTCTGCACTACCAATGGTTTCAGTCATTTTCATTTTGATGACGTTTGTAACACTACTCTCTACCCCATGAAGGTTACCTGCAGCTTGTGCTCTGGTCACATGATCAGATTGACCATCATGTGAGGGAACCTCACTGCTTTCTGTTCCAAGATTAGTCCATCCTGCTTGCCTTTCTTTCACTGAAACTCTGTCTGTCAGTGATGACTCTGCAGGAACATCTCCCACACATTCCATTGGTTGTGTTTCAGAGCAGGAGGCAACAGATGGGCCTTCAGCTTGCTTGGTCATAGGAACTCCCCCTTCATCAGTACAAACTAACTGTTCTGCTACTTCTGGAAAGTTCAGCACAACATATGATGACTCTTTCACTGTATCTGTGTTAGAAAAATACACAGGACATACATTTGAATTAAAGTTTTCCCCTCCTTTCTTTTTGTGCAATTTTCCAACATGTTTAAAAATATAAGACAACTTTTCAGTTGCATAATTGGAAGCATTTCTGATGGCACTGTTGGACAAAGTCACCTCCTTTAGCCTTTTTGGTGGTGTTGTGCCACTGTCAGTGTGAGGAAATGAAGTTTCCTGATAAGCTGCCTTCATATTGCCCTTGCATTTGAGACCTTGAGTCAAAGTTCTGCTTCCTGGCTCCAAATTGTCAGCTTTCGTAGTGTCACTTTTTCTATACTGTGTGTCAGCTGACATTTTACATTTATTTAAAAGATTATCGGTCTCTTCATTTGGCTTCATTTCAGCTGTAGAGTCAAGTTGGCCAGTATCATGTCTAATGGACCAAACATTCTTATCATCACTGTCTTGTGTGGTGGGTCTGTCCATACGCTGCTTCTCATTCCGATGTGCTGATTTTACACCTAGCGTTGGCTTCAGCATATTCCGATGGATAAATTCTTCACTAGGATCTTCTGGTTTCCCATCCCTACAACTACCTCCAAGAGATTCTGATGAGGACGAGGCTTCGACAGAGACAGGGTCAGTGTTATACACAATTAAGTGTTTAAGTTCCTCTGCAGGTTTTACAGCTGTATGTGTTTCTTCATCAACACTTCCCAGGGGAACCTGTCCTTCAGCAGGTCCTGCTAGCCGCAGTGCTTTGAGAAGTGTCGTATCTTGCACATCCCTTAGGGTAAGAGCAGACGTCTGGCTGTCGGTGTTACCATGGTTACTAGTGGGCTGTCCATGTGTACATACACTGCATCCATCCTCCACAAAGCTGCACATAGCAGACATGTTCACTGCCACATTCATCTGGGGCTGATGTTTATCAAACGAATGGCGTAAAACTGATGCTCGACAGAAGGACTGGAAGCTGCACCACTTACATCCGAACCGGTGCTGTTTGATCACATGGTCTACAATGACGTCTTTGCTGTCTGCAGAAAAGTGGCAGAAGTTACACCAGTAGAACCTGGAGTCCAGTGATGAAAGGACTGTTGTAGTGTTTGTCCTCAAGAACGTCTTTGAAGCCACGGCACTGAAGGTCTGGGTACAGTGGGAGCAGGCACTAGCAAGGTCAGATAAAGGTGTCTCCACAAACCCCAGGCGCACCAATGGAGAGGGCTGGGTTACCCTTCTTGTTGGACTATTCAAGCGACTAACAAACACATGCTTCATGGTTGTTGCCCCTTTATGATCTGTAAACCAATTAGTGCAAACATTCAGGTTTCTTAACATCCATGACATTCAAATGTTTAACAAGAAACCCTGTAACTGGAATCCATATCATCATGTTTCCTTTTTAAAGACATTTCTACAAGTATTATTCATGAAATGTCCCTACGTCATTAACATAGGATATTTGAATATGACATCATATATACCTCTCTGCATCAAGGTATCCCAACCTTTCAATGATCACGTGTATGAATGCTGACTTGTTCTTGTCGCTTTATGGCTGGAATAATGCCTATGTGACGTAAAGCTCGGACTCAACTCAACAATTCAATCATCGCTCTTGTCAGGTGAAGCGTGAAGGAATACTGAACATCCAATCATAATGCTGGATGCATTGGCACTTATGTCATTCTTTTCGAAAATACTCATCGACATTACTTTACCACCAATTCAGTATTTTATTTTTAGTATACAAACATTTCCATGTTGATATTATGCAAGCTCTATCATCTGTCACTATCATTATTTGACTGTTATCATCGATGGAAAGAATTATTAATAATTATTGATATGAAAAAAGGTCATCAATACCCAATACAGCCCATGCAAAACTAGAATATGTGGTAAGCCTAGATTACCAGTTTCAGTTTCTGAAAATGAAGGTCACTTGCATTATAATTTATGAACATAATTTATCAGATCTGTTCATTTCAGAGACTAGATGTTAGTCTAGGCCAATGTTTCTTCTTAGCAAGATTTCTACTTTTAAAAGCGCCATTATGTAGTGATTCACGGTTTAAGTGTTCTTATCCAAAAACACAAATGCTGATGCCAGAAAGAGAAACCAAATCTTTTAAATTTACAAACAGAACTTTATATTTCTGGCTTCTACCTTTGACACCACATATTTTGTATGTTATTGCCAACGATTGGCCAATTCAGACACACCTACCAGTGTTTAGCTCTCCATATAACTCCCCTGATCTTCGATCAATCCATTGACAATATACCTGATCAAACCACTCAAAATAATATGGATGTAGTGGTTGGAAGAAGGAAAATCTGGAACTATAATAGCATCAACAATGAAATATTGTAACATTCGGTTATTTTAGTTGCAGCGTTTATGAAATATATTCAACATAAAACAATCATATGCACTTTGGTATGTTACAGGTTAGTTTTCGCATGGAACAGTTTGACAACTCTCTGAGTTAGAAATTGCAGCATGAAGGCCTCTGCTGTCTTTTTATTGCAAAAATATTATATTGGCATAAAGTCAAATAACAACAACTAACTGCTATAGGTGTCAATAGCTGTGATCTTGGTTATGGTAAATAACTTCACATGCGATCTTGCAGAAACAATTAACACATTATTTTATTGAAATTATTAATTAAATAAATAAAATTAATCAAACCAAAATTACACTGAAGTTGGCCAACACATTTTTTACCATGCATTACATTTACCATGCACATTAAAAAATATGCCTAAACTGAAGTTTTGTGTGAATACCAGCAACAGTGTCTCTATAACAGTTTTACCAATCCTGCACAACCCTTAATTTCAGGGGTGGATCCAGGATTTTGGAGAACAAGGGTATGTATAAATCATGAAGTCCAAAGGTTAAGGGTAAATGCACCTCAGGGAAAATGTTTTCGGTGGAAAGGGGGGATGCGCACCCCGCCCCTGCATTTGGTGGATGTTCTAATAATTTCACCTCTTCATACTTGTTAAGTTTGGAAAAATCTGTTGTTTTCATGCCAAAATTGTAAATTCAGGATATAAGTATATTTGTGTTAAAGGGACCATTTTTATGGAGAAGCATGTACAATCTGAAGGAGCCCCTTACAATATCATTTCTTTTTACATGACTCATCAACAATAGACTATCTCAGCATACATCTATGTTTGGACATTTCTAGGTGTCAGATATATAGCTTTCACATATCTCAACAATCATTTCACAGTTGTCTATCTCCTGAATCTGGTACCCAGTCAGCAGCAATTTGAAATGGTGGCATTATTACTAATGGCAATGCTGAAGCTTGACAATCGGATGACATCACTAAAATTCTTAAAGGTATGCTGGAATTCAAAGAAAAGGTCATGTTTTTTTTGAGGCTTTTTCCATGTGGTGTCAGAATAACAGTATCTTCTAACAAACATTTTATTTCAGCAGAGACCATATACCGGTATATGGTCTCTGATTTCAGTCACTAAATGCATGCTAAGCATGGTCTAGTTCAGCCAGCAAAACGTCGTGTTCCTACCAAGGTATGGACCTATAGATCGTATACCTTGGTAGGAACACGACGTTTAGCTGGCCGAACTAAGCATGGTCAAAGTTGCCACTTTCAACGTGATCTACAATCATTTAAACAGGTTTCTTGACCAAATATTAGTAACCACATTACGTTATTGAATACTAATTTCAAATTTTCAACAAATTAAATAGATCTACTTACAAAGATTTGTTTCGTTCTTACAACGTTGTTAGTTTCAACCTCACGCTGCCGGATTCTTGGAAGTCTTCGGTGACCTTCGGAAACAAGGGCAAGTAACTCCTACTTTGATCCACCTGCAGTTCAAATACTTCAAAACATGTCAATCTACTATATCTGTCGAGCGCATTTGCATGATTTTCTATATTTGTCATAGTGTATTTATTAGCAAGTAGGAAATTTATAGTGTCTCAGTACACGTAAATCGGATTGTCGTTCTCTGCAATATTATGCGGTCAATTTTGAGTTGCAGATAAGGTAAATGTATAATGGGTTTCAAAAACGCGATTCACATTTCCCCACATTCCCACCCACCTATGTTTGTCTGTTTCTACTCACGGGTGTATGCAAGCTTCGACTCTACAAGGTATAAATACTTACTGTTTCCTTGTCTAACATATGAAACCTATTCTTGTCCAGGTAGGCCTATACTTTCAACAAGCAAACACAAAAAATATTAGATCTATTCCAATACAATCTCAAAAAAGCAACCCTTTGATAACTCCGAAACATTGAAAAAAGATGAAACACACACACACACACACACACACACACACTTGTTGAAAATCAAGGGCTGCTTGTCATAACCGAAAAGAACAACACTGAAACATAGGATAAAGGATTATCATTAATCCAAGATGAATAATATAATATTGTCACATGTTACACATGTCACATATTGGCGGATCCAGGATTCGTCCTGGTTTTGTGTGTGGACTTCTCAGTACCATTCCCGTGGGCGTGATTTATATTGTGACGTCATTAAACACTGTAAACAAAAATGTTATTAGTACGTAAATAGGATCATTGTCCATGTGTGTTTCCTTAGCGTGGACATCTTATATCAGGATTAAAATAAATATTTCGTGAGTATAATCCATTTGATTTATTTCTGACCAATGATGTACACGTTACGGAAACACACGAGGGTAATCATCCCTTTATCATATAATGCCATGCTTAAAATACTTGTTTACTGAATGGTATTAATACAATCTTTTAGTGAGCTGTCTCATTTGAAATATAGTGCTAAATGTTTTTCACACAGGTTTTATTTGGCGGAAACACACAGAGAAACACACAACACAGAGGCTGCCCTGTTGGAACGTACTGGGAACTTGAAGCAATGAATTGGTCAAAAGGTCATCACATCCATGTAAAGTTGTGTGGCCTGTTTGTCATTTGTCAAAGCAACGTCATACGTAAGCCAATTACAAACAACATTGTGAAATTATTACAAAATTATTCATTTCAATATACAATAAATTTAATGTAACAGCCTTAAACAATATATGCCGCTTACACGACATATACAGCTTAATTGTCTGACTGACATTATGGTAACATATACATGAGAAACATAGAAAATGCTCAAGAGTTGAGACTGACAAAATCGACACAGGTCTGTCTCTTTAAGTGATGTAAGATTAGGTCACATGACGACGGATCGTGGTACAAGTTGATCAGTTTATATCATCGATACAACACCCGTCATACGATAAACTATGTTATTATCCATAGTGAAACGGCATTGGTGAAGTGGGCTTTTCTGTGTTTCCTATCTCGCCGCAAAGGAATGGCAATTTATTTACTGCAACATTTTCACAGACTGACGTGACGTCATATCAACGTATCATCGCATGATGACGTCGTCCATTGTTCACGGGGTAAAAACTCGTTGTTGGTGTTTTTTTGTTTTGTTTTTTGGCAACGCTATTCCAACAACACACTGAGTCTCCGCTTGAAATCAGGAAACATTTTTTATGAAAAAAAGGAAGAAGAGAATATCATTAAGGCCCTGGCCAATGGAACCTGAAGTATTTAATTTGTAAGGTGGGTGGGATAGTTAAGTGTTTACAGCATCACCTACAAATCACGGTTTCGATTCATCCGTTGGATACATTGAATGAAATCCATGTCCACCGCCGTGATATTGCTGGAATATTGCCTCGTGCGTCGTAAAATAATACTCTCTCCCAAGCATTACCACAACAATGGCGTGGAGTGCATGAAGTCATTATTATTTAGTACGAATCTGTAGTAATTTGTAAACCATTTATTTCTAAAGTATTTAAGAGCAGGTGAAAATATCGATAGATGCCATATGCTACATACAGCACATTACATTACAATAATCTGTACTTGATGTGGCCAAGTATGGGGATATAACGAATTGGAGTTGTTTTACACTTTGTGAGATCGGCGCGCGCACACATATACAGGCTGCATCACCGCATGATATAACATCGACAATACTGTATAATTTGATTATGACATTGACAAGAATAAACCATAGCATAAATGTACCAGTATCGGGTGTTGGGTATATTTCTGACTGATTCGGTATAGATAAACAATTTTAGAACTATTCTATATTTAGCACCTGGTTTATATAATGCGTGATTAACTCCTAATGTGTTGAGAACACAACGTAATGTCCATAGCTGGATTAACTGTAAGTCTCTGAAAATATGTAATTTTGATAGAAACAACTATATTTGATTTGAAAAGGAGATCCAGTGAGATGCGAGTTTTCTAGACTTGCTTCATTTAGAGCTCCATAGCATAATAGTAAGGATTGGGTGAGAGAGCTAATGATATGGTTCATCGACTGGGAAACAGATTTTATGCTAATCCCGAGGTTTAGGTGTGATCGTTCAACATATAAACATATGAAACAAGGAATAGCCAAAAAAAAAAAATCAAATTGGTATAAACTCTAACATGTTCATGTTTAATATACATGATTTCATAAATTATTTACTGAAAACAATTTATGCTTGGTTTCATGCGAAATAGAGACCAGATAAAACTATTGGCAAATCATTTACAAAACTACGAATAACAAACGTCAAACTCAACCTAAACAACTATCGATTCCCTAATGTCAGATCTTTGGGCAGAAAGAAAATTCTGGGTCAAGCGAACTGCACTGTATCTGCAGGGGTTAGCTCCCTTCTGGTGACGTCATTCGTAGCGCGTCACGCACATACACAGAGGTGGAAGAAAGCGGGGAGAGCTTTCCGGGTGCCGTACATACTTTTAGTGACCTCGACAAGCATTATTGTGATTACTTGGCAAAAGAGAAGTGGTAGTAGGTGAGTCTGATTGTTATGTAATATTTATATACCAAATATGTATTAATCTAAACGTTATTTAGGGTTTTTGAGCCCGTGCAGTGCAACCATGATAGTGCTGCTATCGTGGGCTATGGCGCGCGGGTTCGTTGTCGGCGCGACGGGCACCTGCTTAGCTCGTTATACAGCATGATGCAACCGTAATCTTATTGTTGGTAAAACGTTAACGTATATTCTGACAAACGGGTGTTTTGTCTACACGCGTTTGCTCAAGGAACCCACGTGTGACATGTAAACGAAATGATACCGTGTCCCCATTGTAGCGTTATAAAGAGGCGGATTGGGACACGAGACTGGGAAGGCCACTTATATTTAGGTCACCGGTGTGGCGATTGTTTCACGACCATTCCCCTCTCACTCTGTCCATAGTATGGGCAGACGTTTTTCGTGATGCCGGTCACCCCATTCATATTGGCAGTGTAGAATCATTTTTTATTTTATAGTATAGAGAAATCAAGAAATTAAGTTAATTCATTAATAACATGTGGGAGCCTATTATAAGAAATATTATTGTCATATTAACACAAGACAGGAATCCGTACAGGTGTTTGATTATTTGAAAACAGAACAAAAGATTTTTCACCAGTGTCAAGAAAATTTTGATGCATCTACAGACAACACAGTCAAAACACCATTTTGCCCATTTATGCTGAGGGGTGTGTGGAAATAGCCATGCTATTTTTGATTGAACCACCATAGATGACCCTAGGACAGACAGAATTTCCCAGTTTGGTTTTCTTTGACAGTGTCAAGTATCATGTTGATTAGAAACTAAACACAAATTTATACAGTTTATATTGATGTAATATAATGTTCCTTATTAATTTTACTGTTAGTGTTTTGCAACATGAACTTTTGAGTCAAGTCGACATTTAAAACCCCACATGTTTATGAGTAAGGAACTGATATAAAAACCTCATCAAATATGGACAAGAAAGCATTTATTGTTGACAGGTATGGAAGGTTGATTGGAGTAAAAACAACAAAGGATTGCATGGCCTCACAACATGTTGAATGCATCTTCATTTGATATACCTGCAACCCAGAAATTGCTTCGAAATGATTTTGTCAAACATGATATAACTGAAATAATATTTAAATTGGCGTTAAAACCTAAGAACCATTGGTATATATAAAACCTGCTGTTATCATGGCTGAGATTTGATGATGTTGGTCTGAGGAAATCTTTTACTCATCCAAATACAGTCAGACAAAATACTTGACTGTAAATTAGTGTAATCATCACATTGCAGTATGAAGGTGACAGCCACAATGATATGATGATAGGACAGTGTGACAAACATACTGGCTTGATTGTTTCACTGTATCATTTGTCAGACTAGAAGAATGAATCAAAAGACATGTTAACAGTTAACAGTAAATTCTTTCATCTAAATAGAAATACCCTGAGAAAAGTGTCATTTGGTTATGTTGATTAATTCATGTACTAAAAACATGATTAAGGATTGTACAACCTGACTTCAGTTTCATGTTGGTAAGATTGTTTTGTGTTGGTCCTTTTAAGGTGAGAAAAGATAATACAGATTGTTTCATATTTGTGTGGGCCATTTTAATCAAGTGTTGTCATTCTTACACTACAGACTACAGTTACAGCACTATATTAGCTCATGATGTTGCATTAGGTAGAATACAAAGAATATATATTCCCCACTGCTTAGATGTCTAAGGTCAGTGGAGAGTGCTAGTACAAGCAACCACACATACACACGCATGCACGTCATCATATGAGCGAAATATTCTCAAGTACGACGTTAAACCCAATTTCACCTCACCTCACTCACCTCAGTGAAGAATGTGTAGTAAATTCTCTGACAGCTAATTACTGACCACTTCCTATGTATGTGACACACTGGCAATAAAATGGTGATGGAGGCATGATTTTCAGCTATGTTTGATCTATTCTGTGTACATCAGGCATGATGTTTGCTTCTGTCAATGATTCATTAAATTGTATTTATTAAAAAGCCTCAGTCATGTGGACATGCTAAAAAGTGCACCTGTTTTTCATTGTGAAAACAGCATTTCGTTTAATTGGAATTGAGGTAACAAATTTACTTTTTAAAATAACAATCACAGTGTTGATCATGACAGCCCTGGCTTATGCTGTCGCCCCCTGTCACAATGTTGATCATGACAGTTGTGGCTCATGCTGTCAGCCCCTGTCACAATGTTGATCATGACAGTTGTGGGTCATGCTGTCAGCCCCTGTCACAATGTTGATCATGACAGTCGTGGCTCATGCTGTCAGCCCCTGTCACAATGTTGATCATGACAGTTGTGGCTCATGCTGTCAGCCTACCACACAGTGTTGATCATGACAGTCGTGGGTCATGCTGTCAGCCCCTATCACAATGTTGATCATGACAGTCGTGGCTCATGCTGTCACCCCGTCACAATGTTGATCATGACAGTTGTGGCTCATTCTGTCGGCCCCTGTCACAGTGTTGATCATGACAGTCGTGGGTCATGCTGTTAGCCCCTGTCACAATGTTGCTCATGGCAGTCGTGGCTCATGCTGTCAGCCCCTATCACAATGTTGATCATGACAGTTGTGGATCATGCTGTCAGCCCCTGTCACAATGTTGATCATGACAGTTGTGGCTCATTCTGTCAGGCCCTGTCACAGTGTTGATCATGACAGTCGTGGCTCATGCTGTCAGCCCCTGTCACAATGTTGCTCATGGCAGTCGTGGCTCATGCTGTCAGCCCCTATCACAATGTTGATCATGACAGTCGTGGCTCATGCTGTCACCCCCTGTCACAATGTTGATCATGACAGTTGTGGCTCATGCTGTCAGCCCCTGTCACAATGTTGATCATGACAGTCGTGGCTCATGCTGTCAGCCCCCGTCACAATGTTGATCATGACAGTTGTGGCTCATTCTGTCAGCCCCTGTCACAATGTTGATCATGACAGTCGTGGGTCATGCTGTCAGCCCCTGTCACAATGTTGATCATGACAGTCGTGGCTCATGCTGTCACCCCCTGTCACAATGTTGATCATGACAGTTGTGGCTCATGCTGTCAGCCCCTGTCACAGTGTTGATCATGACAGTCGTGGGTCATGCTGTCAGCCCCTGTCACAATGTTGATCATGACAGTCGGTGGCTCATGCTGTCAGTCCCTGTCACAATGTTGATCATGACAGTTGTGGCTCATGCTGTCGCCCTGTCACAGTGTTAAAATGACAGTTGTGGGTCATGCTGTCAGCCCCTGTCACAATGTTGATAATGACAGTCGGTGGCTCATGCTGTCAGCCTACCACATAGTGTTGATCATGACAGTCGTGGTTCATGCTGTCAGCCCCTATCACAATGTTGATCATGACAGTTGTGGGTCATGTCAGCCTACCACACAATGTTGATCATGACAGTTGTGGCTCATGCTGTCAGCCCCTATCACAATGTTATCATGACAGTCGTGACTCATTCTGTCCGTCCCTGTCACAATGTTGATCATGACAGTTGTGGGTCATGCTGTTAGCCCCTGTCACAATGTTGATCATGACAGTTGTGGGTCATGCTGTTAGCCCCTGTCACAATGTTGATAATGACAGTTGTGGCTCATACTGTCAGCCCCTGTCACAATGTTGATCATGACAGTCGTTGGCTCATGCTGTCAGCCCGTCGCGGTGTTGATCATGACAGTCATGGCTCATGCTGTCAGCCCCTGTCACAGTGTTGATCATGACAGTCGTGGCTCATGCTGTCAGCCTACCACACAGTGTTGATCATGACAGTCGTGGCTCATGCTGTCAGCCCCTATCACAATGTTGATCATGACAGTTGTGGATCATGCTGTCACCCCCTGTCACAATGTTGATCATGACAGTTGTGGATCATGCTGTTAGCCCTGTCACAATGTTGCTCATGACAGTCGTGGCTCATGCTGTCAGCCCCTATCACAATGTTGATCATGACAGTCGTGGCTCATGCTGTCAGCCCCTATCACAATGTTGATCATGACAGTTGTGGCTCATTCTGTCAGGCCCTGTCACAATGTTGATCATGACAGTCGTGGCTCATGCTGTCAGCCTACCACACAGTGTTGATCATGACAGTTGTGGCTCATGCTGTCAGCCCCTATCACAATGTTGATCATGACAGTTGTGGATCATGCTGTCAGCCCCTGTCACAATGTTGATCATGACAGTCGTGGGTCATGCTGTCAGCCCCTATCACAATGTTGATCATGACTGTCGTGGCTCATGCTGTCAGCCCCTATCACAATGTTGATCATGACAGTCGTGGCTCATGCTGTCAGCCCCTATCACAATGTTGATCATGACAGTTGTGGCTCATTCTGTCAGGCCCTGTCACAGTGTTGATCATGACAGTCGTGGCTCATGCTGTCAGCCCCTGTCACAATGTTGCTCATGGCAGTCGTGTGGCTCATGCTGTCAGCCCCTATCACAATGTTGATCATGACAGTCGTGGGCTCATGCTGTCACCCCTGTCACAATGTTGATCATGACAGTTGTGGCTCATGCTGTCAGCCCCTGTCACAATGTTGATCATGACAGTCGTGGCTCATGCTGTCAGCCCCCGTCACAATGTTGATCATGACAGTTGTGGCTCATTCTGTCAGCCCCTGTCACAATGTTGATCATGACAGTCGTGGGTCATGCTGTCAGCCCCTGTCACAATGTTGATCATGACAGTCGTGGCTCATGCTGTCACCCCTGTCACAATGTTGATCATGACAGTTGTGGCTCATGCTGTCAGCCCCTGTCACAGTGTTGATCATGACAGTCGTGGGTCATGCTGTCAGCCCCTGTCACAATGTTGATCATGACAGTCGTGGCTCATGCTGTCAGTCCCTGTCACAATGTTGATCATGACAGTTGTGGCTCATGCTGTCCGCCCCTGTCACAGTGTTAAAATGACAGTTGTGGGTCATGCTGTCAGCCCCTGTCACAATGTTGATAATGACAGTCGTGGGCTCATGCTGTCAGCCTACCACATAGTGTTGATCATGACAGTCGTGGTTCATGCTGTCAGCCCCTATCACAATGTTGATCATGACAGTTGTGGGTCATGTCAGCCTACCACACAATGTTGATCATGACAGTTGTGGCTCATGCTGTCAGCCCCTATCACAATGTTATCATGACAGTCGTGACTCATTCTGTCCGTCCCTGTCACAATGTTGATCATGACAGTTGTGGGTCATGCTGTTAGCCCTGTCACAATGTTGATCATGACAGTTGTGGGTCATGCTGTTAGCCCCTGTCACAATGTTGATAATGACAGTTGTGGCTCATACTGTCAGCCCCTGTCACAATGTTGATCATGACAGTCGTGGCTCATGCTGTCAGCCCGTCGCAGTGTTGATCATGACAGTCGGCTCATGCTGTCAGCCCTGTCACAGTGTTGATCATGACAGTCGTGGGCTCATGCTGTCAGCCTACCACACAGTGTTGATCATGACAGTCGTGGCTCATGCTGTCAGCCCCTATCACAATGTTGATCATGACAGTTGTGGATCATGCTGTCACCCCCTGTCACAATGTTGATCATGACAGTTGTGGATCATGCTGTTAGCCCTGTCACAATGTTGCTCATGACAGTCGTGACTCATTCTGTCCGTCCCTGTCACAATGTTGATCATGACAGTTGTGGGTCATGCTGTTAGCCCCTGTCACAATGTTGATCATGACAGTTGTGGGTCATGCTGTTAGCCCCTGTCACAATGTTGATAATGACAGTTGTGGCTCATACTGTCAGCCCCTGTCACAATGTTGATCATGACAGTCGTGGCTCATGCTGTCAGCCCGTCGCAGTGTTGATCATGACAGTCGTGGCTCATGCTGTCAGCCCCTGTCACAGTGTTGATCATGACAGTCGTGGCTCATGCTGTCAGCCTACCACACAGTGTTGATCATGACAGTCGTGGCTCATGCTGTCAGCCCCTATCACAATGTTGATCATGACAGTTGTGGATCATGCTGTCACCCCCTGTCACAATGTTGATCATGACAGTTGTGGATCATGCTGTTAGCCCTGTCACAATGTTGCTCATGACAGTCGTGGCTCATGCTGTCAGCCCCTATCACAATGTTGATCATGACAGTCGTGGCTCATGCTGTCAGCCCCTATCACAATGTTGATCATGACAGTTGTGGCTCATTCTGTCAGGCCCTGTCACAATGTTGATCATGACAGTCGTGGCTCATGCTGTCAGCCTACCACACAGTGTTGATCATGACAGTTGTGGCTCATGCTGTCAGCCCCTATCACAATGTTGATCATGACAGTTGTGGATCATGCTGTCAGCCCCTGTCACAATGTTGATCATGACAGTCGTGGGTCATGCTGTCAGCCCCTATCACAATGTTGATCATGACTGTCGTGGCTCATGCTGTCAGCCCCTATCACAATGTTGATCATGACAGTCGTGGCTCATGCTGTCAGCCCCTATCACAATGTTGATCATGACAGTTGTGGCTCATTCTGTCAGGCCCTGTCACAATGTTGATCATGACAGTCGTGGCTCATGCTGTCAGCCTACCACACAGTGTTGATCATGACAGTTGTGGCTCATGCTGTCAGCCCCTATCACAATGTTGATCATGACAGTTGTGGATCATGCTGTCAGCCCCTGTCACAATGTTGATCATGACAGTCGTGGGTCATGCTGTCAGCCCCTATCACAATGTTGATCATGACTGTCGTGGTACCATGCTGTCAGCCCCTATCACAATGTTGATCATGACAGTCGTGGCTCATGCTGTCAGCCCCTATCACAATGTTGATCATGACAGTCGTGGCTCATGCTGTCAGCCCCTATCACAATGTTGATCATGACAGTCGTGGCTCATGCTGTCAGCTCCTGTCACAATGTTGATCATGACAGTCGTGGGTCATGCTGTCAGCCCCTGTCACAATGTTGATCATGACTGTCGTGGCTCATGCTGTCAGCCCCTGTCACAGTGTTGATCATGACAGTCGTGGGTCATGCTGTCAGCCCCTGTCACAATGTTGATCATGACAGTCGTGGCTCATGCTGTCAGTCCCTGTCACAATGTTGATCATGACAGTTGTGGCTCATGCTGTCCGCCCCTGTCACAGTGTTAAAAATGACAGTTGTGGGTCATGCTGTCAGCCCCTGTCACAATGTTGATAATGACAGTCGTGGCTCATGCTGTCAGCCTACCACATAGTGTTGATCATGACAGTCGTGGTTCATGCTGTCAGCCCCTATCACAATGTTGATCATGACAGTTGTGGGTCATGTCAGCCTACCACACAATGTTGATCATGACAGTTGTGGCTCATGCTGTCAGCCCCTATCACAATGTTATCATGACAGTCGTGACTCATTCTGTCCGTCCCTGTCACAATGTTGATCATGACAGTTGTGGGTCATGCTGTTAGCCCCTGTCACAATGTTGATCATGACAGTTGTGGGTCATGCTGTTAGCCCCTGTCACAATGTTGATAATGACAGTTGTGGCTCATACTGTCAGCCCCTGTCACAATGTTGATCATGACAGTCGTGGCTCATGCTGTCAGCCCGTCGCAGTGTTGATCATGACAGTCGTGGCTCATGCTGTCAGCCCCTGTCACAGTGTTGATCATGACAGTCGTGGCTCATGCTGTCAGCCTACCACACAGTGTTGATCATGACAGTCGTGGCTCATGCTGTCAGCCCCTATCACAATGTTGATCATGACAGTTGTGGATCATGCTGTCACCCCCTGTCACAATGTTGATCATGACAGTTGTGGATCATGCTGTTAGCCCTGTCACAATGTTGCTCATGACAGTCGTGACTCATTCTGTCCGTCCCTGTCACAATGTTGATCATGACAGTTGTGGGTCATGCTGTTAGCCCCTGTCACAATGTTGATCATGACAGTTGTGGGTCATGCTGTTAGCCCCTGTCACAATGTTGATAATGACAGTTGTGGCTCATACTGTCAGCCCCTGTCACAATGTTGATCATGACAGTCGTGGCTCATGCTGTCAGCCCGTCGCGAGTGTTGATCATGACAGTCGGTGGCTCATGCTGTCAGCCCCTGTCACAGTGTTGATCATGACAGTCGTGTGGCTCATGCTGTCAGCCTACCACACAGTGTTGATCATGACAGTCGTGGCTCATGCTGTCAGCCCTATCACAATGTTGATCATGACAGTTGTGGATGATGCTGTCACCCCTGTCACAATGTTGATCATGACAGTTGTGGATCATGCTGTTAGCCCTGTCACAATGTTGCTCATGACAGTCGTGGGCTCATGCTGTCAGCCCCTATCACAATGTTGATCATGACAGTCGTGGCTCATGCTGTCAGCCCCTATCACAATGTTGATCATGACAGTTGTGGCTCATTCTGTCAGGCCCTGTCACAATGTTGATCATGACAGTCGTGGCTCATGCTGTCAGCCTACCACACAGTGTTGATCATGACAGTTGTGGCTCATGCTGTCAGCCCCTATCACAATGTTGATCATGACAGTTGTGGATCATGCTGTCAGCCCCTGTCACAATGTTGATCATGACAGTCGTGGGTCATGCTGTCAGCCCTATCACAATGTTGATCATGACTGTCGGTGGCTCATGCTGTCAGCCCCTATCACAATGTTGATCATGACAGTCGTGGTTCATGATGTCAGCCCCTATCACAATGTTGATCATGACAGTTGTGGCTCATTCTGTCAGGCCCTGTCACAATGTTGATCATGACAGTCGTGGCTCATGCTGTCAGCCTACCACACAGTGTTGATCATGACAGTTGTGGCTCATGCTGTCAGCCCCTATCACAATGTTGATCATGACAGTTGTGGATCATGCTGTCAGCCCCTGTCACAATGTTGATCATGACAGTCGTGGGTCATGCTGTCAGCCCCTATCACAATGTTGATCATGACTGTCGTGGCTCATGCTGTCAGCCCCTATCACAATGTTGATCATGACAGTGGTAGTGGCTCATGCTGTCAGCCCCTATCACAATGTTGATCATGACAGTCGTGGCTCATGCTGTCAGCCCCTATCACAATGTTGATCATGACAGTCGTGGCTCATGCTGTCAGCTCCTGTCACAATGTTGATCATGACAGTGGTGGGTCATGCTGTCAGCCCCTGTCACAATGTTGATCATGACTGTCGTGGCTCATGCTGTCAGCCCCTATCACAATGTTGATCATGACAGTCGTGGCTCATGCTGTCAGCCCCTATCACAATGTTGATCATGACAGTTGTGGGTCATGCTGTCAGCCCGTCACAATGTTGATCATGACAATCGTGGGTCATGCTGTTAGCCCCTGTCACAATGTTGATCATGACAGTCGTGGCTCATGCTGTCAGTCCCTGTCACAATGTTGATCATGACAGTTGTGGCTCATGCTGTCAGCCCCTGTCACAGTGTTGATCATGACAGTCGTGGGTCATGCTGTCAGCCCCTGTAACAATGTTGATAATGACAGTCGTGGCTCATGCTGTCAGTCCCTGTCACAATGTTGATCATGACAGTCGTGGATATATGTTTAATTTTTAACTTTTTCTATTTTGATGCATTTGTGTGTTTATAGCGGCCTTATGTGTAAACTGTTCATTAACAGTGACCCGACAACACTGTAGTTTTGATTGTGTTTGTTGCAGGTGCGAGACATGAGCAGTGGGGATGGAGGGACCAACCCTCTGGGGGTCATAGAGGGCTACCAGGTGTTCTGTAACCCCGAGGATCAGGCTGGCAACACAACAGGTAAATAACACTGAATACAGCTCCTTGTGAACTTTCTGATGGTCCTGTCATCTTAGGTACCAAAATTCACTCATGTAGCAGAATTACATGACCATGGATTTGAATCCAAGACTTGCCCCGAAAATGTGACCATGTTTAGTCAGTGCCTTGCCTTGTGAATTTCACTGAGATGGTTGTCATCCTGCATGATACGAAGGTTACACACCACAATATAACTGAAATGCTGTTCAAACTGCCATGATATGACTGATACACTGTCCAACCAGGCTCTTCCACTCACTACTCCTCTTCTTGCCAGTTAGGAGTTGGCATGTGAGCGAAAATATATATCACATGATGTGTTTTCATTAGCTGCCAAGTGCCATTTTGTTTACCACTAACTTTATTGAAATGGTATATTGTCATAAGGCCAGACCAATTTTATTTCTTGTTTTATGGATGCGCCTGTCATATTTTTTCAAGAATAGGAAAAACAATTGAAAATATTTTTCCCTCTCAAAAAATAAAATCCTCAAGTTTTTATTTGGGAAAAAATGTAAACTTACAAACAAATTTATTTTGATTGTTTTTTGCCCCATATGCACTTCATAAATTGCCAAAAATAAAATACTTTAGTATTCAAAAGAAAAGTATCTTTGACTTGTGATTTTTATTTTTATTTATTTTTTTTTTTTTTTCACTCCTGCCTTTATGTTTTCTGTGGACAAAAATCCGTAAACAAGAAATAAAATTGGTCTGGCCTATTGAGTAATATCTTGGGCTGGCTATGGCTGCAGATCATAAAGATCGATAATTCTTTACTGAATAGCGATTGATTATTGATAAATATTTTGGAAGTAAATTTGAGCAAAAAACAGTCACAGTCCCCCAAATCTGAAACAAATCAACATCCTTTGCATCACTGGTGAGTGGCAACATTCAGGCTTGAATTACAAAGTACCATCCTGAACATAATTTGGAAGGAGCTCCACAAATAAAGACCTAACTTTGTATTGTCTGAGTATATTAAAACTTTATTCATCACAATAATTTATGTATGATATTATCGATCACACAATTTTCATATCAATAATCATGAAGATTTTTCACACAGATGTTACTTCTGATTATTGATGTTTTTAGCCAGCCCTAGAAATATCAGAAATACGTAGCTCTATGATTTTTCCAAGTAACGTAATAACATTTGCAAAAAATTAATTATGTTAGTTAAGTTGCACCCCTTAGACACTCATTTAATAATGAATTCAGTTGGTCAGTTGACAATCAGATTATGATTTATAAAATTCACATATGTTATTTGATGTTTAAATGACAGAGGAGACCTAACATTACAGATTTGTTGGGATCCTGCAGACCTTGACATTTTGTGTCCATTAAATCAAGTGAGTAGGGCCACCTAAATATGTTCAAGTTTATAGTTTTCAGCAGTATGGCCACAGTGAAGACTGTTGAGTTAGAGATGCTGAAGTAAGTTCCTGACTGATCAGTGTCCCGTTTTTGCGTGTTGCAGCTGAGAACAGCAAACAGTCTGAAGCCCAGAGTGACAGCTCCCCAGCCCCGCGGCGACGCAGTGACTCTTCCGACAGTGAGCCGCCAGTCCACTTCCAGGTGAAAGCTGAACCTGTTGATGCTGGGTATGAACAGGCAGCTAACTCCCCTGCCTCTTCAGACAACAACAGGAATGACACTCCACCACCATCGTCTGCCCAGTCAGGGGACAAGCCTTCTGTCCAGATATCATCCAGTCTCTGGTCAGGGAGTAAGAAAACTAAGGAGACAAAGAAACCAGATGCCTCTGTGTCTAATGTTATAGAACAGCTACTACGTAAAGAATGAGTATCTGCTGGCTCAGAATGATGCTGGTGGCTTCAAGCCCAACCCTAGGAAATCTCGGAATCCTAATGAAATGATGAAGAAACCGGACAATGCTTTAGATAGTAATGGAACAACTTTCTTGGTTTCCCAGACATCTCAAGCCCGAATATCAAAGGCTGAGAATCCTCCCTCAAAAAACCTTGGCCCAGGACGGATTTTGAGACCAAGAAGTCCTACCCGCAAATGTAGCATTCCGGAGAAGGACAAATCCCATTTTAATCATGCGGTGATGGAGTCTAAAGTGAATGATAAATCCAGTGAGAAGATATTCCGAGTGAACACTCATGAAATGGTTTGTGCTGTGTCCTGTAGGGCCATGTTTATGACGCAAGGAGGATCACTTGTTGCCAATTTTGACCTTCACTTTTACTGGTGCAACTTCTGCCCCTACCACACAACCACCAAAGCTCAGTTGCTGCAGCATGTGATGGAGCACAGATTCCACTGCAAGTTCTGCAGGTATCAGTCATTTTCCCGAGCAGACGTCATCCATCACACAGCAGAAACTCATTCGGGATTTCTCTGAGGCAGCTGCCTCTCTCAAGTATTGTACATTATTGTCAGATTATCTTCAGATATATTCTCAGGATACGGAAGAGGACAAGAAGAAACGGGCAGGAGGTGGGTCGGATGATGAACCTCCATCCAAGATATCAAAAGTTGATGCTAAGAATCTGTCTGGTCTCTATGCAAACATTGACCCATCTGACCCCAAGAAGATGGATGTGTACAATGCTCTTCAGAAAGACTATGAGTACTTTGACATGGAAGTTGAGACTGTTGATGGAAACATTGCAAGTGAAGAAGTCCCTTCAGACAAGCAGGTCATGGGAGGCCAGTCTACATATGATGTTTCAAAAAATGATCACAAATGTCCAAAGCAGTGGCAATGCCATCCAGGTTCTACTGGACAAGTCCCAAATCCAAGGGCAACCATCACAAGTTCAGCCAGTTTCATTGGTTGCTTCACAAAATGTTCAGAGCGGGTCAAACAGCCGGTTTCAGACCCAAAACGCAGTGTACTCTCCCATGGGTCCAAGAAGAATTATGGGGATTCGGAATGTAACTCCTCCCCTCAGAGCCCCTGCACCTGCCAAACCATTTGAGAATCGCCCACCTCCTCCACCACCACCACCAAATAAGATGCGATCTGGATCCTCAGTGTCATCCAATCTGTACTGGAGTTGTGGCTACTGCAACTTCACCAGTCATAGTCAAGGGGAAATCAAAGAGCATTCTCAGAAAACCCACCGAGGCCGACCACATCGCTATGTTGCTTTAATTCGACCTCCAGAAAAAAAGCCTGACGAAGCAGATGGCAACAAGAACAATTCATCCTCATCCACTGTGACCAGTAAGGATATAGAGATCGACCATGCTGATGATAGTGTCTCAGCAGACACATCAGTAGAGAATTCCAAGAAGTTGGGGGAACCGCCAACCTACAAATGCTTCCATTGCTTCTATGAGGTGAAGAAACCAGGACTGCTGAAAGGACACATGTCCTACAAGCATAGAGGACTTAGTCTGGTTGGCTTTGATGTTCACTGTGAGAGCCCAGACAAATACATGTATTTCTGTCCTCGAGACGATTGCCCATTCCGAGCAAAGAACCCCACGGCATACCTGAATCATGTAGAGAGGTGCACACCGTGGCACAACAAGGATCTGAATGTGACTGTGGAGCCGTACCTACTGAAGTGTCTGGACAACACAGTGCAGCTGGCAGAGAAGATGAAGGAACAGGTAAGGACAACAGAAGAGTACTCATGTATCTATTGCACTTTTACAGGTTGTTTCCTCGAGAATGTCGCCTATCACATTACCATGCTGCATGCCAACAGGAGTGTCATTGTGAAAGATTTGGTGTTGCGTAGGTTGAAGAGGAAGTGTTTCATCTACCGCTGTAGGGTTTGTGATTGGGAGAACAGGGACAGGGAGGAGTGGATTGAGCATGGAGTGAAGGAGCACCAGCTCCCCGAGACTGACTTCTGGAGAGATGTCAAGGCCTGCTACGCTTACCAAAGTGGAAAGAAGTCTGCTTCTTGCAAGTCCAAACTCAAGTCAAGGAAGACTTTGAAATCAAAACGTTTGACAGAGGATGAAACAGATTTAAATGGTCCACCAATTTTGTCACCCGAAATTTCAGTGGAAACAGATTGTGTTGAAACTTTTAGTCCTTTACAGTCAGTATCTGGCCATGACTCTAGCCCTCCCAGTCTCATGGAGGCTCAGCCTGAGTTGTTGACAAACATCAAACATGAACAGGGTATGCCAAAGATGGTGTCAATACTTCCTCCAGTACTTCAATGTAGTTATTGTGACTTTAGTTGTATAGGCATTGTCAACGTCAAGGAACATTTGCAGTCTACACATGCAGGACAAGTGTTAGCTTTCTATGACATGCAGAAGAAGGCACAGAAAATCCCAAGCTACTTCTATCTGTGTCCTTTCGAAAAATGTATTTACTCGGGGGTCAATACTGAAAAAGTTTGTAAGCATAATGAGAAAGTTCATGCTTCTACCTCAGTGAACAATGGTTGTGCCGAGGACGAATACAGTCCACCTGTCAAGCTGCAAGTGCCGTCTGCTCCCAGAATCAGACGGCCAGGATTCATGTCAAAATCCAGGAAAGGTCGAGGGACTTCGTTTGGCCCCAGGTCGGTTAGCTTCATACCGGCTATGCTCAAATGTCAGTACTGTGGTTTTTCATGTATTGGAGTTCTCACAATGAAGGAACACTTGATGAAAGTTCACGAAGGGGAGCCCATGAAGTTTGTCAATTTGAGAAAGAGGAAACAGAAGAGTAGAAGTATCTTCCATATTTGTTCACATGGGATGTGTCCCTACACCCACACAGATGTTTGGACTGTGGACCTTCATTACAGCAAAGAGCATTCAGGTTTGGATGATTATCCCATGTCGGACATGGATCCTTCGAGTGAACATCATCTTCATGATCCCGATCTCGCCAACAGTGCCTTATTTTTCAGTGACAAAAGTGACACTGTGTTAGAAACCAATGAACACCGTGAAAGGAACCTTTTCACCGACTGTGATATTAATGCTATTTTCCCATCTACCTCAGCGACTGGGTCTCCTTCCAAATATTGTTGCTTACTGTGCGAGTCAAACTTTTTCACGGAAACAAAACAGGACATGAAGGACCACTACAAAGACAGTCACCCGGATGAGGACATCGTCATGCGGGACCTGAATGCACGGAAAAACAAACTGCCTTCCCGTTGGTACGTTTGTCGGGAAGCGTCGTGTCTCCACCACTTCCTGGATGCCCAAGCTCTCCTCCTCCACCAACTGGCCCACTCCCACAGCCCTGTATTTGAATGTTCTGAATGTCATTGGTGTCACCCGAAGCTGATGAAGGTCATGGACCACCTCAACGACTTCCACGATAACGATGATGCTGATATCTTGTACATAAACCTTGAGTTAGAGGAAGATGGCAGAAGTGTTAGGAAAGTTTCTGATGGGCAGGCAAAGACAGCCAAAATGTAAATTCAGGGTAGAATGTATTGGGACAGTCTATGAGCAGGAGATCCTGCAGATTAGCCTGTTATGAATGAATCTATGTTGTTTTTATCTCAATCAAAATACTTATCTCTAATTTGTGAAAATTGAATGGATAATTCAAGGATAATTGGTTAACAACAGGTATCCAGAATATTTGGGACATTTGACCGTTTCGATATATTTGAGTATAGTAATTTTATTTGATCAATTTAAGCTTTTTTCATATACTTCTATAAGCATGTATATTGCAGACTGATCATGCACAGTTTTCCTCGGTTAGGTATAAATCTTCTTCACTTGACTCAAAAGTTGATTTATGTTGTTTGCTTTATGAAACACAAATTGCTCAAAATTTGATGTGATAAATTTGTATGTTATATATCATGATTTATGATCAATGATAGAGTCAATAATTCGTCCTGATCAAGCAGTCTTCATGCAGCCTAGGTCAGAGAGCCACTTATGCTTATAGTAAATGAACTCCAAGTACTTTGATTGGATTATGAAGTATGTTAGCTCTTTGACCCAATGTTAGAATTGTTTCAGTTACCATTTGTGTGATTGCTGCCCTTGAGATATTTTCGATGCCAAGCTGTACTTAATCGGGGCAGTAAAACCCGTAAAAATATAGTCAATTTGTGTACATAATGCTGACTAGTTCTGTGATAGATATGTAAGAACTCTGTATGTATACATGGTATTGAGTGAGAACTGTTGTATATCCTTGTTGGACTGTTATTTCATTACCTTTTATGAACTGTTATTGATGTGAAATGCGTGCATAATTTTTGTGAGCTGACCATAGAGTTGTGATGATACAGTGATTCAGCGATACGATTTTTATCAAGACAGTACTTCTACTTTGGTACATATTCTGTCACCTTTTGCTGCTGAATCATTTGTTCTCAAATTTCAGATAGTAAACATGGGATAGAGTATTGGTGAAACATTTTGAACTTGGGCACTGTACAGATTCTGCTATTTATAGTCAAACGGGAAATTCTAGACAATCTGCAGAAAATGGTTGTTGAATAGTGTGTTATTCACATGTTTTTACATCAGTATTACTCATAATTAGGGGTGAAACGGTATACCGCAGTATTTTGCCTTCGGTTCGGCAAAGACCCAAGAAGGTCCAGCCTAGAATGAACCTTCAGTAACCCATGCTTGTTGTAAGATGCGACTAACGGGATCAGGTGGTCAGGCTTGCTGGCTTGGTTGACACATGTCATCACAGGTCGATGCTCATGCTGTTGATCACTGCTGTTGATTGTGTGGTCCAGACTCCATTATTTAAAGAACACCGCCATATAGCTGGAATATTGGTGAGTGCGGCGTAAAACTCAACTCACTACTCACTCAGTTCGGCATACCGTCATGCAATGCAAAAATTCAGAATATTTTGGTTTTCGTACTGATTTTTATTAACCCATTTGAACCTTTTCTAAAATGTCTAGAAATCGATTCATTTTGTCAAAATCTATCTAGGTTTGGCTCTTTTCAGATTTCTGCATCTCATATACCAAACTGAAGGTATTGTACCGCAATGCGTACTGTACCATGGTAAAAGTGTACCGTTTCACCCCTAATCGTACGTATTGTGATACAGGAGTTGTAAATCGATGTATCGTGAGCCTCGTATCATGATACAATAGAGTATTGCTGTACCATTACACTACTGAGATGAGGACCATGTGATTATGTGACCTGGCTGGTGGTATGTCTTCATGCCCTGCTGGCATTGGTCATCCTCCAGTTCTCATTGGTGTTTTGGGTCTTAGCTGCGGTTACTGCATCAACTCATCAGATCATCTTTTCATGTTGACTCTGTTCAACAGTTTTTCTGTGTCACTTCAGGGGGCTGTGAATTGTTACAGATGTTGAATCTGCTACAGATCAAAAAGCATAAAAATTCTTTCCAGTCTCTTGGAGCAGTAAACTATGCTTATAATATGTGTAACAAACCCCCTTCTTAACAAACTGGCATACAATGCAGGGACTGGGAAAGGCAGGGGCCATGGCCCATGGGCCATTTTGTACATGAGAATAAAAAATGGCCCATTAAAATTTTGATGTTTACTATTGATACAAAGGCAGTGGCCCATTCTAAATTCAGAAAATGGCTAATAATCCTGAAAATGGCCCATTGTCAAAGTTCTCTATCCCAATCCCTGATAATGTATTGTGTTTCGGTCGTGGACACTTGCTGTAAATTTGATTGAAATTCAAGAGTCTGACTCGTGTGTAGAACCAACTCCGTTTTTACGAACTAAAGCTAGTGGTCCCTGTGTGTTTGTTATAAACATAGTTTACTGTACTTTTTAAAGTGAAGAGTTCCAGATCGAAAACAAAAACTGGTACACGTTTTGTGAAAACAAGATGGCAGCCCTCTCCAGAACATGACCACATTGGCAGAGTGTTGTGTACCCCCAGTAGTGACACATTACAACTGATACTGAACACTGAAGGTATGGTGGGATACAGTAACCGCAGCTGATGTCATCCACGCTTGGTTCATTGCAGCTGTATTTCCATCTGTTTTATTATTCTGACTTGTGTGTGTATTTAGAGCCGATTTAATATGTTTTACTGTAATTTTAAACAGGGTTATGTTTTTCCAAAGAGTTGTGATATGAATATTAGAATGCCAAAGTAGCAAATTATGCAGGGTAGGTTGAGCATATCTGTAGCTGTTTTCTAATCTGTTGTTTGTTTAGCATTTGAATTATTGTTGAATTGCTGTAATGACAGCTCAGAGGCCCAGATAAGCTGCGTATCCGGGTAAAATACGCATATTAATTTCCAATTACGCATTGAAAAATAATTGTTGTGTACCAATTACGCATTTAAAATGTTAGATACGCAAAAAGTTTAAAACAAATGCGTACGGAATATATTTATAAAAATCGCTTTCGTAATGAAAAAGACATCGATTGCTATGAAGCTGCACTGCTAGTATAGGGCAAGTGTTGTACTGTCAGTATAGGATGAGTGATTTTTTATGAAATCATTTCCATTATATTTAAGTTGGTTTTGATTAGGTATGACATAAAGCAGAACATACCTGCTTAGTAAACTTATTCAGTCACATATAATACTTAGGTGAGTAAAATGACTGAAATACGCCCATATTTGAAAGCAGTGGGTAACGGAAAATGAAATACCCACTCAACATTCATAATACCCACTTCAAAAATTACAGTGGGTACAGTACCCACATGAGCTAAATCTTATCTGGAGCTCTGACAGCTGATGTTTACGGCTGCATGTAGGGGTGAAGTGGTATACTGCGGTATTAGTAGAACTGCGGTATTTTGCCTTTGCTTCAGCATACCGGAATGCAATCCAACACTTCGGTATTTTCGGTTTTTCTACCATCATTTCTATCTAGTCATAAGATGGCAGTTTTGTTCATTCAAAAGAACAAAGATTATGGTTATTTTTTTATCCATGTTATTAAACAATATAAGGTTTGGCTCTTGATGTCAATTTTCTGCATTATGATCATATCTGACATACCGAACCGAACTGAAGGCCTTGTACCGCAATATGTACCATACCGTGTTAAGAGCTAGCCGTTTCACCCCCAGCTGCACGTAGTGTAGATGCTGTTTTCAACCAATGAATGAAGCCAAGCACAGAGTCGTCAGGCATCTAGTGGAATAGGGTGGTCAGACTTGCTGACTTTATTGACACGTGTCATTGTATCCCAATTGCGTAGATCGATGCTCATGTTGTTGATCAGTGGATTGTGTCGTCCAGACTCATTTATTTACAGACCGTCGCCATATAGCTGGACTATTGCTGAATGTGGTGTAAAACTAAACTCACTCACTTGCTCACTCCAGAGTCCTCTGGCTATGCGCAGTCAGATTACATCATCAGCTTTACAAGACACCTGTGCTATATAAACATCTATCTGTTCTTTTTTTCAATGTTGGGGCGGTGGGGTAGCGTAGTGGTTAAAGCGTTCGCTCGTCACGCCATAGACCCGGGTTCGAATCCCCACATGGGTACAATGTGTGAAGCCCATTTCTGGTGTCCCCTCTGTGATGTTGCTGGAATAGTGCTAAAAGCAGCGTAAAACCAAACTCAGTCAGTCAGTCACATGCTTGCAATGTGTGAATCCCATTTCTTGTGTCCTCTGCCGTGATATTGCTGGAAGATTGCTAAAAGCTGCGTAAAGCTGCGTAAAGCTAAACTCACTCTTTCACTCACTCACTCGTTTGTTAGCTGATGACACCTGATGACATCAAATCTATTGATATGTAACTTTTGAATGTAGTGTTTTCGCCTGTCAAATATTGACAATGATAAAGGGTCTGAAGAAGGTGAAGAACCATGAAACCAAAAAGAGTTAAGAATCTAGTCTTTCTGGACTGCTGTGATTATGGGGAATAGTCGAACCCCCAACATGTCAGTCTGTTTCTCTCGTCCCCAGGAGGGTTGAGAGCTATCTGTATGTGATCATCTAGACAGTTATGATTATCAGAGTATTAGTTCCCTTTCAGAACCTTGCTGTCTTTCAGATTTTTTATTTACTGAATTGTGTTGACAGACTTCATGCTTGTTGGAGAGATCTATTGAAAATTCTGCCATAACTTTTCAGTCAGGTTTGAAATTGCCTTCAATTTAAACAACAGGCTTTGATAACCACATCACTGCGAAAAATAATATGAATAAAACAATTAATTCCTTCTCAGTAATTGTTGGCAGGGATTTGTAAATAATTTATGTACAAATGCCATTTAAGGTCAACATGGTTAAATGCAAATTTGCAGTAACTATAATATAATATATATTTGGTTGGACATTTTATTTAGTGTGGCAAAATCTACTGGTAAGCTAGCTCTTAATTGAAATCACAGTACGTATCTTCCACAAATCATAACATTTGATTTTATTCCACATTAAATAAAAAAAATTCTTCATATCTCTAAAACATCCATTCCAAAACTGTGGAACAATCATATATATTTTTTGTGTCAGTTGCAATAGTTGAATGGTTAATGTGACTATTTGGTCTCTTTAACTGCTCGTGTTTAGTTTTGTGTGTGTGCATGTTTGCATATGAGCAAGAGTGCATGCTTGCATGTTTTGTTACATTCAAGTAAACTATGCAAGTTTTTTTCTAAAAATTGATTGGCCACTTATTTTGTTCATGGCTCTTACCGTCCACTGAGTCAAATATGTACTACAATGTTTTGACCAATCACATACATATGCATTGTACAGTCTGTTTGTCTCCAAATGGGAACTCTGAATTGAGATGTAGCTCAAAATCTGGAATAGTCTTATTAAATGCCAGTACGGTTCATGGCAATGAATATCATGCAACCAACAATATCTGATGTTTCTTCATACCCATCTCTGGAAGAAGAAACTATCATGTTGTTACAGCAATGTGCCAAAAGTATTGCAACAAACATGGCTGATGTCATGGGCGTAAGATCAATAGCATTCCCGTAGTAAATGTGATAGCAAACAAGCAAATGATGTAACTTACCAAATAATGCTTGTACTTGGTAATATATCCCTTCTGAATAATAACGCTTCCAATTCTCTGTACAAGCTTCGAATACAAGCTTCGAATACAAGCCCAAATCTGCTGCAATGTTTTCACAGTTTCTCTGACGTTTGATTTCCACTCATCTCACTGTTCACAGTATACTGGGTGTTCTGTTCGTAGTTTTCCAGGCGGGGGTCTCACAAGACCTCTGCATCGGAGAATTATCATCCCAAAAGATCTAGAGCTCATTTCCAAATTCTTTGTCTACAAAAGGCAACAAAATAATTTCAATGGTATCAATAGCCCCTCTCTGTCCTTTTGGTCTTCCACTATGAGGTCTATTTTCAAAATCTTACTTTCAAATTCGCTAAACTGCAGATCTATGATTTCCTACTAAGTAAGCTATCTCACAATCCTTTAAACATTCTGATAAAACTGAAATGTTAATTCCTTTTGCTCACCTGTCAATTCTTTTGCCAAATGAGGCATCATCTCCTCAGTATGGGACCTGTGCAAACACTGCGTGTGACGTCTTCAAAGCAAATGTGATGGTGTACAAGTTAGCATCTTTAAAGGAGGGCGTACAATAGTAGGAGTAATAGCACAAACATGCCTGTCATA